CCCCCTCGCCACAAACCCCTGCCTGCTAGGAGTGCTAGCCCCCAACACCTATCCCACCTCTCTAAGAGTAGAAGCCATTAATTTTTTTAAACGAACCACCGTAAGTACCAGAAAATGTCAAAGTCATTCTGGAGTCATTATTTGCCTTTGTCAACAGATCTTTTTCGTAAATAAAGATATTGATATGCATAGTGTTGCATTGAAGACCATGAGAAATTTAGTAAAATTTGCACCAAATAGAACTAAAACATAATGTCTTTCTCAATATATGACTTAAACTTTTTTATTCACTAAATAGGACTTTATAATGACCTAGTGGGAAGAATAATGTCCAGTAATGATGGACATTTACTTGAATAATGATTACATGATAATGACCAAAAGTCCTACATTGGGAAATAAAAACATATAGTTCTATATTGGAAAGTCATTATGTTTTAGTCTATTTAGGTAAATTTCTCAAAAATTTAACTAGAAAGATTAATAAAAGATGGAGGGAGTATATTATTCATCTACTTATGCAAATAATGATTTAAATAATACAAAAAAGTAAATATTTTTTATTTCAATAAAAAATAATTAACTCACTATATTATTAAAAAATGTCTAAAATAAAGGTGGAAGACAACATTACAGATTTCCAAAATAGTTTATGCCTATTACGAGTTAGGTAGTACGTAATTATAAATGAAAAAAATGTTAATACACTGACTATTTGAATGATTACAACTTGTGGTGTGTCTTATGTCTTAAAAAATTATCTAAAGAAAAATAGTTGCCATGATCTTCTTCATAAAAACTTTTGTCGCTCCATCTAACTAATTTTGAATATGAAATAAATCACTTTGTAATTCGCTATTTCGCTCATATGCTACTAATGCTAGTACTCACTTTGTCACGTTAGCTTTAACTTACCTCACAGTTTAAATGCAAATGGGTTTGAAGCCCTGGGACATCAGACTTTCATTTCTTACAATTGAAATACACATCTTCTAAAATTAAATTAATAAAATTTAATTCTTTAAATATTTAAATCAATTTATACGAGAATAGTTCATTAAAAAAATTATATTTATTAAATAAAAAATTTATAAACACATGATCTGATGCTCTGAGCTGACATTTTCAAGTATTCGTTGAATATATGAGATGTCGTCCTGTACGCCATGTGGAAAATTATTAAATTATAAATGAGTATTTGAAGAACATATTTTAAGTTTATATGATATAAAATGCCAAAATGTCTTCTCTTTGACTAATATTTAATAAACATTTTTGGGCAAAAGACCACTTAGAGAATAAATTTAAATTATAAAGAATCACGTAAATAATTATTGCTTATGAAAGAGTAATTTGAGAAAATATGTTTTTATAAAGGATTGTTTTTAGAAATAAAGAATAAAAAAGAGTAGATAAATGATTGAAATTTTTTGTTAGAACAAAAAAAAATCATAAAATCCCCATTTAATTAGCTTGGGGACAAAGGGAAGGGCAAAAGACTCAACGGCAGGAACCGAAGGAGCTCCCAGCACAGCTTTTGAAATTCTTACTACGGCGCACCATTAACAGGTCTCCGGGAATCGAAGCGATGGCGGCGGGATGGCATTTATCAATCCCTAATTTCGGCACTATAAACAGAGCATTTCACTTCCAGGGGGGTGAGCAGATAGAAGAAGAAATCGCCTCTCGCCATGGCCACAACTGCCTGGAAACCGACGGAATCCTCGATGTCGTGATGCACCGCGAAGCAGTAGATCGCCACCGATGGATCGCTCCAAAAAAATTCAGATGAAAGGTATGAAGAATTTATCGACTAACCAGTCATTAATTACTGTATGTCCTTACTCCCTTGTATGCCTGTATGGAGTTGAAGTTGCTTGTCTTTTTTCTGGATTTTGTTATCATGTGTTTATGCATACTTTTGAAGAAGACGGTTTGAGGATTAAATCGCTGGATTTTGTTATCAAGTGTTTATTCATTTTTTTTGGAGTACTTTTTTTTAATGGTATGACCTTAATCTTATTCCTCAGTTGCAAATTATATGATTTGCATTTAAATTTCTGAATTGTAATGTTCCAAATGATTAACAAGTTAAATTTCTGATTTTTATAGTATTGTTTTTGTTGAGTAGATTGACTTTAATTTGTGTGTTTTTGTTATTGTCAAGGAACCGACTCAACCAAAAGCTCAAACTTGTTGTTGTGGCCCAAGAACAGTTATTTATATTTTAACACACCCCCTCACGTGCAGGCGTAGTTTTTTTTAGCCTTCGTGAAACCTTAATTTTTTTTAGACTGAGTGGCGCTGACTCCGCTGAGTTTCGAACCCGTGATCTCTTAGTTAATGAGGCTCCGATACCATGTCAAGGAACCGACTCAACCAAAAGCTCAAGCATGTGGTTGTGGCTTAGGAACAGTTATTTACATTCTAACGGTTATCACTGGATCTCTGACCTGAGCAATCTATTTAATGAAGCCAATGCATAGTCATTAGAACCAAACATAATCTCTGACCTAAGAAAATGATGTGGCAAAAATCACAGAAAAAATTGGAATCTCTAAGGGCAGAGGATCAAGAACCAGTCCCAATCACTTCCTAGAACTTTGTGAAGATGTAATTGCTAACATCCTTCGTAGATGGGGTGTTTATGAGATTCTGAAAAATGCTCAAAGAGTTTGTTCGTCTTGGAGAAAAATCTGCAAAAATCCCTCAATGTGGTGTTCTATCGATATGAGACATTTGGGTTTTCATGGACACCTTGAGGCCATGTGCCGTCAGGCAGTAGATTGGAGCCAAGGGCAACTGATTGAGCTCTACATTGATCATTTTGCTACAGATCAATTGCTTCTTTACATCTCTGAGAGGTACAATGAGTTTATTGTTTGCTTCTATTTCCACACCTCAATCACACTTGTGCATCTTTTGTAACTTCTAGGGAACTGAGATTTATATATTGTTCACATGCCTCAAATATGTCTTAAGGTTTTGAAATATTTTGCAGACTGGATTTGTTTTTTTCCTTTTTAATCATGACTTGCTCATTTCTGCAGATCGAGCAAACTCAAGTGTCTTCAAATTAGGCATTGCAATAACGTTGGAGATGAGGGATTGATTCAGGCATCCAAAAATTTTCTTCTACTGGAAGAACTTCACCTGTTTCGTTTCACGAATGTTTACAAGTCCATTGAACACATAGGTCGGATGTGCCCGTTGTTGAAGTCGTTCACGTTGTTCTCATTGGACAGCAGGTTTATGAGTTTCTTATGTGAACAAGAGGAAGATGATGAGTTTGACTTTGATTTTGTATCACTGGCTATTGCAAGAAATATGTCTGGCTTGCGCCACCTTCGACTTTTGGGAAATAGTATGACGAATTATGGCCTGGAAGCCATTCTTGATGGGTGTCCTAATCTTGAGTCCCTTGATATCCGGGGATGCTTTGGCGTTTTGCTACATGAAAGAATTTCTGGAAGAATTGCTCAAAAAATAAAGGATTTCAAACACCCGTTTGATATGTCGGATGCTCGGTACTTGGAAGCTGTTAATTCGGGGTCTTGCAGTTCCAGAGAGGAATTTGATTTGCACTATGGTTAGGGGGGCAATTCAAACAGGATTTTTGGATTTGATGATTAAGTTTAAGGTCTTTTATGTTGCAAGGTTTAGACACTTTTTTGGGGTGTTTTGAAGTATGCAGTAGCGCATAAATGTAAGAATCCAAAACTTAATATTTTTGGTGTTTTCTATGACTGGTGACTTATGTTGGTTTGATTCTTATTGGCTTATATTTCTCTCATGTTTTAGTGTTTTCTTTTCTTCTCTAATAACCTAACAACAAAGTTTTTCATATCACCTTCTTTACTCATCCCTTTCTAAATTCTTTTAAACAAAACAGTGCATTATAATGATTTTTTTAAAGAAATATTTGCACTAAATAGCACTAAAACTTAGGTAATTTCTCTAAATAGCAATTAGATGGCTTATTTCCCTAAATAGCACTTTATAATATCCATAATGATCAGTGATGGCAAACATTTACTTGAATAATGACTAATGGATAATGACTAAAAGTGCTACATTGAGAAAAAAACATATGTAGTGCTATTTAGAGAAAGTAATTATATTTTAGTGCTATTTAGGTAAATTTCTCTTTTTTAAATACGATCGTTATGGAAATTTAATGCATTTGGTGTCTATCTTTTTTCTTTTTGTTTGAAGTAGTCAAATAGAAGTGTCTTAAATCCTACTAATATATTTATGATTTCTTGTTTGTTATTCGTTAATGTTATTTATGTTTAAGAGTAGTCACCATTTTGATTTTTCCAAATCAATTCAAGGGTATGTTTAATTAAGGGTTCCTTTGGTAAACGTGCAAATTTCTTTCGAAAAAAAATTGAGAGAACAAGTTCTCTTATTTGGTTGAAGAGAAAAAAGAAAAGAAATATGAAACAAAAACAAGATGAGGAACATTGGGTAAAGAAGGAAAACAATTTTTTTTAAAATTTTGGTGAAGAAAATTAGAGATTTTTATCTTTTCTTTTGAATTCCATGAACCATAATACAATTTTGTAATATGTGTTTGTCAGATATACTCCGTATAAAAATATTTTGGAGTAGGGAGTACTTCGTAATATTTAGGATCAAATAAATTACCAAATAATTACTGGAGTATTTTCTTAACTAAATTACCAAGCAAATTTTTTTCTTAACAGCTAGCATAACTAGTCGGTCTAAATATCTAATTCAATCAATTATTCAAATCAATCAACAACTAATATTCAAACGTTCAAACCCACATTGTATTAGAGAGTATTTAAACATGACAAATCTTAAATGAATTAGAACTAAGTTAAACTATACCCGATTCTTTATTTTATATAAATACTGAGTAATAGTTACTGGTAGACAATTTAATAGGTCCATTTTGCTGAAAAGATTTGGGTTTTATTTGTGTCACACATAACTATTAATTTTCCATTTCTCTCCCAATAAGGTTCTCATTAAAATTATGTAACGCCATGAATGTACCTTAGAATTTTATAATGAATTCTAGTAAAATGTAATTCTAATTTTGGATCCACCATAATAATAAAATTGGAACTGACCAGGTGGGTTTAGTAGCCCACCGGAGGTGGCTTGGATCCACTAAGGCAGTGATGTACGTACATTCAGGGGCGGAGCCAAATGGGAGCAAATGACTACAATTGCAGTCACTCCACTTTGGGTACCCATGTATGTATAGTTATATACATACATACACATAGCTTTCATCTCCTCCATAAACATACACCTTTGTTGCTCTCCACTCTGTCTATCATTTTCAAATAGCCCTTTCAACACACCTGCTATCCATTCTCGGCCAAAGCTGCCAATTTTCAGTTGATCGAAGCTTTGAGAGGATTTCTAATTGATTTCATTGATCAAAAACTTACATTTATGTTATTGCATACCATGTGTTCGAAATAATGCCTACGAGACCTATTTTTATTTAACGTCTCCGACAAAGGCTAAACGGATTGACTTGTCACTTTGTTTGTGCCTTGCACCCACTGGTGTTGGATCCTCGCTCCGCCACTGTGTACATTGAGACCCAATCTAAACTATCACTACAAGAATTAATTCAAATTGCGACGGAATTTCTGTGACGGTTTTAATCCGTCACAAATTACGACGGTTTTTGCGACGAAAATAAGAACATATCAAAATTGGTAAAATCTGCAACGGACACATACATTCCGTCGCAGAGTTGCGACGGTACATGTGTTCTGTCGCAAATAGTTGACCGTCAACTTTTTAATCGATTTTGCTTTAGAATGAACATGAAAAAGAACGGTTGGCTAATGTTGCTATGTTTTACCTTGTATAATCATATGTATTTATGTGTATATTTATATTTGTCAGTCATTTTGTGTTCTAGCGTAGATATCCCCACACTCGTTGAATTATGCATGCAGGTAGGGTCAAGGATTGGATGAGCATCTTGGAGGATAGTGAGACGTAACACTGGTGGATGACCCAAAGTTGTTTGAAATCAAATCAAATGTTTTGTTGATTTCATATTGTTTAAACTACAAGAATGTTTTGATGATGTTGTTTTAAAGACTTCCGCAACGTTTGTTTTATTTAAAATATATATGAAAGAATGTTTTATTTAAATATCTTTTTTTAAAACATGGTGCATGTGAATACTAAATTTGTAACAATCTGTTTTGCTAACTCGTTGGTTTGGATTTTGCTCCAAACCAGTCATATGTATACACCTTGAGACTGTTTCTCTATGTCTCAAGAAGAACATCGAAAGTTCCATTAACTAACTGTTATTTTGTTACTAAAAGAAACCCATAATGTGAATGTCTATGATTTGCAAAGGGTATTATACCATAGTGATTAGAAATAGAGCATTTAGTTTCTATAACTTTACTAGGTGCACACCAAGGGGTGTATCCCAAGTCGTACACCGTATATATGCACCGATACTTTGATGATTTACATTAACACAAAATATTAGTGCGATTGAAATATTTTGAACTACTCTGTAGCATTTTTGTGTGTCAATGTGAACCATAATTAAAGTTTCAGTGCAGAGATGTGATGTATTACTTGATGTACAATATTGTTGATTTTAGTGTCATCGGCTATTTTGTGTAATTGGATTAACTTAAGATCAGATAGAAATTTTTAATAGACGTTGTTAACGAGTTAGGAGGTGCAGAGTGCACGCTCGTTCCACGATATTAGAAATTCCATGGCAGGGATCCGGGGGCGGCAACCCCCGGTAGCCGGGTCCAAGGGGCGATAGCCCCTGGAGGGGTCCAACGCAGAGCCCCTAGCTGGGGCTGATTTTTTTATTTTGGACATTATCGCTTTATTAAAATCCTTTGGATTTTCGTAATCAGAGTCTATAATATGTAATTTTTGAACGTGTGAAAAACGTACTCAAATAGGCTTAAAACAATGAACTATTCGAAAAAATGCACATTTATTCGAATAGTTGAGCACATGCCTGGTTTAGGAGAACTCCAACTATTTGAATAAATACCCATTTATTCGAATAGTTTAGTACATGCCTAGTTTTTTGGAAGACCCCAACTATTCGAATAAGTTTCCACTTATTCGAATAGTTCGAATTGAATAAGTGCCCAAAAGATAAGTTTTTCCCTACGGGTTGTAGGGTTGTTCATCGGTCTAAGACCGAACCGAACCGGACCGACCCGTACCGGATCGAAGACCGAAATGAGTAAATTCAAAGACTGAAGACCGGACCTAAATATATTCGGGTTTAGACTGGACCGGATCGAAATATTTAGTCCGAATCGATACGAACCGATTGGACCGAAAAAAATACAATTTTTTTAATTATTTTGATCAATTAAATATATTTTAGACTTTCTACTTTGTACCATTCAAATATAAAATGAATAAAAAAATAGGCAAGCTTAAAATGGATGCACAATATGAACTACTTCAATGTAGAACAATAAAAACAAATATGAAACGTTTTTTTAATATTTTTTTAATTTACTTAATAAAAAATATTTTTAATTAAATAAATTAAAATATCGCATCAAAGTGTAATCCGAACTTAAAAAGTGGAGTTTTAGTATTTAGGTCTTTTAGGTCCAGTAGGGTCATTAGGTCCAATCGGTCTGGACCTAAATCATTTCGGGTTTTGACCGGACGGGACCGAAACCCGAATGCCTAAATTTTCTAGAACGAAGACCGACCCGAAATCCATTCTGTCCGGGTTCAGTCTGGACCTAACGGTTCGGTCGGTTTTTTCAGTCCGGATCTAAATGTGAACAGCCCTAATGGGTTGTGTTTATTCGGCCAACGGTCACTTCCAATCGCCCAAATACCTATATTATGGGCTTGCGTGGTATGTTTGAGGTAAAAAGGAAGTTCATACCCGTTCTATATACTGACGTCCAATCAGATTGAAGTATTTTAGTATATTCTGAAATAACTTTAATCTGAAAGCGTGATTTCACACGATTCATTTAGTCTATCAAGTCATTTTACGTTACAATATACCAAGTAACCCTGTTATACAGCGTTGTTCCTCCACACAGAATTACCATATTTCTAACATACAATTCTTTTTACTTTTTCAATTTTTTTGAATCTACGTACAAGTCAAACCCAAAAATTTATCATGGAACGGAGTATTAAAAAGCTTAACACAAGATTCAATTAACCTAAGATGCAAATGGTCAACATTTTATTCCCATCTAATTAATTCAAGACGAACCCAACGAAGAAAGGGCTTTCAAATTCTTGAATTACACAGAAACTTCACGACGGTAATAAAGAGGGACCAAAACGTATGTACCTACGTCAGCAACAACACCCACAAATATTACGTCACCTCTCCGGTTGTGAAAATATTTCATCTCCCTATATATAAGCCGGTAATTCCGCGAAAGAGTAATCTGGTAAAAAGAAGTTAGAAACAATGGCGGTTGATCACCGGAACGCCGGCGGCATGAAAGGCACCTCGGCCGCCTTCGACTGCAACAAATGCCTGGACGCCGCCTGTGATCCGGTGGTCACATTTTGCGGCCACCTGTACTGCTGGCCTTGCCTCTACAAGAGGTCCCGGGCCCACTCGGACGGCCCTCTCCGCTGCCCCGTGTGCAAGGCCGAGCTGCCCGGCACGTCCGTCGTCCCGCTCTACGGCGGCAGCGGCGAGGCGCCGACCAAAGCCAGGCCGGTTTCCTCTTTAAGGGTCCCCCGAGGCCACCCGCGTGCCCCACTCCCCAACAACGCCTGCACCCTTGCCCGCAGGCCCGCCATCGTGTTGACTTTTGGGAACACATAATGGCGGGCCCAGCGGGCAGGATCTTCGGGAAAATAGTTTTCTTCTGGTGCCTCTTTGTGGGTCTCTTGTTGATTTAGTAAAAGAAAAAATTACATCTAATGTTGTCTATACTAGACTCGTACCCGTGCGTTGCACGGCTAGAAAATGAAGTTACAAATTTATGTAAAAGTATTATTACCATGTATAAAAAATTTATTAAAATAAAAATAATAATTACTAACTGTTGTGCATTGTAAAAGAAATATAAATGAAGGAAATATTATACGGAATAATTCATTAGATATAGAGATGCACAAAAGTATATTCTTGATAAAAAATATCAATAATATAGATTCAATGCATAAAAATTTCTTCAAACTTTTCTTCAAAATATGCATCAGGGTAAGGTCTCTTCCATTCACTACAACAAACAAAGAGCAAGAGAGTTATTTTGAGTAAAGTAAATTTGCCCAAAAAATTCACTTGCAATCTCCTTTCTCTTCTTTTCACCAAAAAAGTGAAGAGAAATTATTTCAAAGTTCCATGATGCCAACAAATATTTTACAAAATTTTACACCATGTACACAGATGAATGTCAAATAAAATGATTAGTATATACCTAAAACAACCCTTTTTTTGGATAACCACCAGATGCTTTATCGTACAGCAAAAGCCTTGACCACAACAAAAGTTACAACAAAAACAATATAGTCCACTCGTCTGCAAAAATTACAACAGTTAAACCATAGAATTTAGGACCATGCTAGGGTGCCCCCACATGTCTGTGTTTGTCTGTGCGAAGCATGGGTGCACCCATGGTAACATCCATGTGGGGGCACCCTAGCATTTTCCTAGAATTTATTGAGAGTGGGATTTGAACCCACGCCCTTTCAGACCAGAACCTTAATCTGGCGCCTTAGACCAACTCGGCCATCTCAACCTCTGCTTGCCTATGAGGATACGCACTTATCATACCAAACTGGCCATATCAATTTGTGTGGGTTCTTGAGGCTACGGTGTATTTATTACGGAGTATGTACCACATAAATATGCAACTATGCAAGAGATGATATATGATCATTGATTCATTGTTGATATGAATGAGTGTCAAAATAATTTAAGAGACGTATTTTTCACTTAGGTAGGTTTTTATTGAAGTCTTTTTTTCAATTTTAAAGATCCCGTTGAAATGAAATCAAGCTCTAATATCATACGTACTACTTCTCCCGTCTCAATTTAAATTACTCCATACTTGTTTTCTTTTTTACGTCCGTCCCAAAATAAATTGTCTGCTTCTTATTATGGTAAGTTTTTATTGATAAAATAACTAAACTACTCTTAATAGTGGAAACCATATTTGGACATAGGGCGTATTTTTTAAACACCAATAACTCTATTACTCCCTCCGTTCCACAAAACTCTTCCTCTTTCGTTTTTTTTGCTTTCCACAAAACACTTCCACTTTCTATTAAAAAACCACTTTTACCCCTACTTTTTCATACCCTACCTATCACATCATACTTTTTCACTAATAACCAAACTATCACATCTTACTTTTTCCCATCACATTAGGGGCAAAATTGGAAACTCAACAAAAATTACACTTTCCTTATTTTTTCCCAAAGTCAAAACCGGAAGGGTTTTGTGGAACGAAGGGAGTACAATGTAGCTTCTTTTCATATACTCACTAGAGCACATAGAGTTAGAACTTGTTCTCTTCAAGTTATTATTTTAAGTATTATTTTGAGGAATTTACCTAAATAGCACTAAAACATCATGACTTTCTCTAAATAGCACTACATATGTTTTTCTTCCCAATGTAGCACTTTTAGTCATTATGCATTAGTCATTATTCAAGCAAAATTTCTGGACATTATGGACATTATAAGTGCTATTTAGAGAATAAAACAGTTTAAGTGCTATTTAGGGAAATGACTTAAGTTTTAGTGCTATTTAGTGCAAATATTTCTATTATTTATTCTTATTGGAATCCGATCAGATCAAACTAAATCAAATTAGATCACAATTTAATCAAATTAGATCAGAACCAATAACAGAAGTTGAAGAGAAGAAGCTCTTACTACCCCCACTGAAGTTCGAAGCTATGACTTCTTACTTGAAAGACTAGCCTTAATGCTGCTACATCGCCTTTATGTATTCTCTACTAAATCAACAATTTTATGCATTAAAAGGTGCATTTTTACACTTAAATGATCATATATGTATTTTAGGCATTATTTATAATAAAAAATATTCATAATGTACATTTTTAGTTTATCTTTTAAACAGTAGCATTATGGATCCAAATTTATCAGATCCAAAGGTTGGGTCTTGAACCCAAAACCCCCTTCGTTCCCTTTGTTTTCATCTTCTTTGTGATTGTTTTTGTTTTTTTTCTCCCGTTTTTAGTGGAACTATTTGGTTTCTGTTTTAGTTTTCCAAATGTAGAGTTTTTTTTATCACAAATTGTTACCAATACTATCAAGTCTTCATATTAATTTAATTTGAATTCAATAAAAAAAGAATTCCGTTTAAAAAGACGCTCCCGAGGAACACTGATGATGAAACAATCGCGTAAATAATAAACAAATGTAGAAGTAACTGTGTAAATAAACAAATTTGGGAGTATTTATGTAAAACATATACTCTCCGTTCCAAAAAGATTTACACGTTTTGACTATAGTTGAAATTAAAGGAGAGATAATTTTGTGTTGACTTTCCAAAAATACCCTTGATGTGATGGGTAAAAGTAGGATTTGATGTGTAGATTATTAGAAAAAAGGTATGATGTGATAGGTAGGGTTTGAAAAAGTAAGGGGTAAAAGTGGTTTTTTAATAAAAATGGGTATGAGATTATGAGACGGAATTTTTTTAAAAGGTGTAAATCTTTTTGGAACGGAGGGAGTAATTCCTAGGAGCATACTAAATTTTGCCAATATTTTTCTCCTCCATAAGAGAAAATCACTCATTTTGCAAAGATCAAAAACATACTTAATCTTTATAAATTTTGTTCTAATATTGAACACAAGCATCATTCTCTTCTTTCACAAGTCACAGGCCAAACCAAACCAAAGCAGAGCTTAAAAGTCTGAAAAACAAACACATACATAATAAATAAATACAAGAGACATATTTATATATATATATATAGGGATAGACGACGACGAAGTTCTTCAAGCGCGCGATCATAAGAGTAATTAATTATTAACCCATACTCTGTAATTAATTAATTAATCTGATCTCCGTCGACAAGGGCGGCATCGGCCCAGTTGGAGGCGCTGCCGCGGCGGGGAATGCTATGGAGTCTGGTGTAGAAATCCACCTGGAAAATCACGGCGTCGATCCCCCCTCCCTCCGCCTCCCGCACCGTCCCCTTCACTTTGTGCATCGGGTGGTCGAAGCTCGTCAGCCCGCTCTCGCTCATGAATATGCACCCTGCAACATATTTTGAGAAATTTATGTAAATAGCATTAAGACTTTCTCTAAATAACATCACATGTGTTTTTTCTCAATGTAGCACTTTTAGTCATTACTCAAATAAATGCTCGTCATCACTGGACATTATAGACATTATTAAGTGCTATTTAGAGAATAAAATAGTTTAAGTGTCATTTAAGAAAATGACTTAAGTTTTTGTGCTATTTAGTGCAAATATTTCATATATTGTTGTGGGGCTTTGCAAAAAAAATTATGATATGTGTTGAGGAGATGAGATGAACAAGACTAAGAGGGTTTTAATTAGTTGCATTGATTTTTCCCCTCTTTAAAAAACCAAAAAAAAGGGATTATATTTATAGAGACTAGGGAGCAATTAGTTAGATTCCATTGCTTCCTAAAGTGAACTAAGCTTATATTATCATAATTGAAAAGTGGTGAACTTACCTGGATTGAACATAGTAATTTGAAGAGCACATGTTCTTAAGAAGGTAATTGATGTATAATTAAATAAGATCGAGGTCACATGTTCAAACCCTGCTGGGAACAGGAACGTAACGCTAATGCTCTACTAAATATGTTCAGAATGCATGAAAAGATACTACATTTTAATAGAGTTATTAGTGTTGAAAAACAGAATTACCGGGAGGAAAAGGAGTGTAACATTGCCCACAAGCAGCATTGACAAACTCCGCTTCATCACTACACATCAAAGACTCATCCGTCGCGACTCCCCAATGAAGCGGCACGCTTCCTTCACGGTCCTGTCGTCTTACAATAGTTAAATACGAAGCACGACAATCGATTCGACATATTGTTATAGCTATCCTACACATAAGAGTGGAATTTATAGGCTAGGGACAAACGTAACGAACCCGGGCGAGAAAGAGGGTGGAGGCTTTGGAGTCGAAGAGGATGAAGGCGAATTTGCCGTCGAGGCCCTTGATGACCTGGTCCGGAGGGTAGGGTGCCCTATCCCGGAGGACCTTGTAAGCCTCCACCATAATGCTGGCCTCTGTGGCTTGCCTTGAGAGGCCATAGTATCTCCTCAAGTCACAAGTGTTGTCCAGTACCCCAGAGAAGATGCAGAATATGTCCTCCATCACCACTATGGATCTACCAATTAATTCATTTTGTATATATATCACCGTAAAAGTTTACAAAATAAATCGTGACATAACTATTTTATTTTATTAAACGATCCATAAAAACGTACGTACTCTGCATAAAGAATAATAAAGATTAATCGGTATTATTTGTTGGGGATAATCACGATAACGCGGATTGATCGAGAGTCGTGTATAACACTTTCAGATTGAATATTTTGGTTGTTCAACCCAAAATTCAATCGGATAAAACTCGAAAATAACAAGAACGAATATGGAATTGTTGTGAATTTTCGAACGCTCCTTCGACCCAAGTTTCGGGAATATATAGAGTTGCGGTGGAGAAGAAAAGAGGCCCCTGCCGCTCTGCCCCTTGGACCCTGCAGGGGCTGCCGCCCCTTGAAACCTGCTCGAGAGCGCTGCCCCCGAACCCCTGATAAAACGGGACATTTTATCCTAACAAACTCAATGAAGCGTGCACTCCGCACCCCAAACTTTTTTTGATGATTATAAAGATACCATTGATAGATCATAATTTTTCGAATTACACAAAAATATACGGAGTATAACATTATTTTGGGAACGAGGGAATATTTATTTTAGGATGTGACTTTAATTTAGAATATACCTTGGGTACAAAGGATTTTCGCCGCCGTGAGTGAGTCCGAGGAAGTTGCCGTTAGCAAGGTTGTACAGCGTGGTGTCCGGCCTCCGAGACCGGAAATTCGCAGCGATCTCCTGCCTGGACCTGCACGCCGGCCGCAACCCCGCCGCAAGCGGACGGCCGAGCTCCGGCGGCGGCTTCGCTATGCACCGCTCAAAAACAGCCAGCATCGTCTCGATCGGCGGCGGCGGAGTAAAATTTGTTAGTCAGCGTATGGGTCTGAGTGTGGCCGGGAATAGTCAGTACTTATCCAGAGTAGAGAGAGAAAGAGAGCGGGGGGCCCGGGGAGAAAACGACAAGAAAGTGACGTGGCGGCAAGCGATGTATGTGTCGATATTTCTGGGTAGATGATGTTACGTGTTACAACTAGTCACACTCATCACTCCAGTATCTAAATTACAGTTAGCTAAATTATTTGTACACCAAAAATTATACTTTACGGAGTATTTGGTATCTCGATGATATGTACTAACATGTTGTGTTATTGCGATAGTTTAAAGTGACAAAAAATGTCAATGTAAGATTCTTTGACGGCACGGATCTTTTGATGACCTTGAAACCCTGAGTCATACTCTAACCCGGAAATCTACGATTTCTCCGTTCGTAAAATTGATCGTTCCTACCCCCTAACCCCCTGAACCCTACCCCTGCCCACCCTACCACAGCACCCTCTGCCCCTCCTCTCCATTTTGTCGATTGGCTACAGTGTTATTCTTATTTAAGGTGAATTTTCTTTTTTTACGAATAAGACACCGTAAATACTCCAATTGGAGCCGGTGTCATCTCTTGACTCGTTTCTTCTAATGGTAATTATAATCACACAATTTTATTTAAAACTTTTTAACACTTCATATTTTTTTACTGGGCGGGGAAGTTGATTTGGGCTACATAAACGGCAGAGTCGTTTCCCTTCCAGTTTACACACATTTCCAACTCTCCCTATTAAAGTGAAAAACTTCTGCTCCAATATAGTGATATTACTGATATACCCTTTTCTACGCCTTCACGTCTTTCTTTCTTCTTTTTTTTTTACGGCAATGGTGAGTCAGCAAGTATTCGTTACTTGCGGGCGTGTGATACAATTTGATAATAACTTGTCTTATTGAATATTGAGAGATATGGCCCTATATATAGGGAATACAAGAGTAATCAAAGTACAAGTAGGAAAGGAAAGAATAATCCTAGTAAGAAAGGAAAGAAGTATCCTAATTTAATTATACTTCCTAATATCCCCCCGCAAGCTGATCAACGGAGACGAGGGGCAGCTTGGAACATAAGTACTCAAAAGGAACTGGCGGAAGCTGTTTGGTAAGAATGTCTGCTAGCTGCTTTGAGGAGGAAACATGATGTGGAGTCATAGTGCCTGCCATAACCTCATCTCGTACAAAGTGACAGTCTGTGCCCACATGCTTCATGCGATCATGAAGAATTGGATTTTTGGTGACACAGATAGTCGACTCATTGTCACAGTATAACTTCGGTTTGGACGGAGGAATACCCAGTGCATCAGTGATATATCGAAGCCACATAGCTTCTGCAACCCCTGCAGCCATAGCTCGATATTCAGCTTCAGTGGATGATCTAGAAACACGAGTCTGCTTTTTCGTGCACCAAGAGATGATATTAGGACCGAGTAGGAGTATGTAGCCCGTGGTAGACTTGCGATCATCTTTATCATTGGCCCAGTCAGAGTCAGAGTAGACAGATAGGTCGAATCCCCCCTTGCGAAAAAGAAGACCATGATTCAAAGTGCCTTTGAGATAGCGCAGAACGCGTTGCAAGGCATGATAGTCCTGCTCAGTGGGGTTGTGCATAGTCTGAGACACTCGATTAACAGCATACTGAATGTCTGGACGAGTGACAGCCAAGTAATGTAAACCGCCAACAATGCTCCGAAAATGAGAAATATCCTTGAAAGGCAACGAAGGCTTAGTGATAGGTCTCGTAGCCATAGGAGTAATAGCCGGATGACAGTCGGACATCCCAGC